AGTTTCATATATTCTACGGTACTACATACATGCATATGAATGTACAATTTCAAATAAATTTGAAATTAGAACCAAAAAGAATTCAAGAGGAATATACAATATATATTCAATATCATCGGATGACCATATACAATTTTGAACAAGTTTCCATACATGATTTAATGCATATAAAGTTCTACGTCCTCGTAATAGTGTTCTCCTTTAGGATGGAGGACTTCCCTGCTGAACCATCCAGCTAGTTCCTCTTGAAGTGGTCGGAAGCGAGCTTCTGGACTAAGCATCCACCGGAGGTTATTCCTCTGAGCATTGGTATCACTCGGAACCCGCTCAGAGGTGTATCTCCGGATCATCTCACAGACATAGTATCCACATAGATTGGTCTCCGGTGGCTGAATATCCCCAGCATTCTTAGCCTTTAACATTTTGAATTCTAGCTCTTTTTTGAATTCACCGACCTTTGTATCCCCAGCATTCTTAGCCTTTAACATTTTGAATTCTAGCCTTTAAAATGTTGATGATTTTGTGGAAAAAACAGGAATAAAAACATATTGTGTATTCAAAAAATGTTTAGGGATTTCAGAATAGTTCACGTATTTAATTTTTTCACTGATTCATGACATATTCGTGAATTTAAAAATTATTCGTGTATTTCAAAAAATTGATTTTATTAGACACAAAAAAATTCATCAAAACAAAAAAATATTAATGAATTCCAAAATTTATTCGCTGATTAAAACAGTGTTCACAAAGTTTCAATAAATTTCACAATTTTAAAAATTGTACGCAAATTTGTAAAAATGTTCATGGATTTGAAAATATGCATTATTTAAAATGTTCACAATTATTTTTAAAAAATCACAAAATTCTCTCTCTCTCTCTCTCTGCTCTCTCTCTCTCTGCTCTCTCTCTCTGCTCTCTCTCTCTGCTCTCTCTCTCTCTCTCTCTGCTCTCTCTCTCTGCTCTCTCTCTCTCTCTCTGCTCTCTCTCTCTCTCTCTCTCGATCAACGCCGGCGAGGCCGGCCGCCGGCGAGGGCGGCGAGGCCTCTCCGGCGAGGGAGGCCGGCGCGGGGCGGCGCGGTGGTGGGCGAGGGAGGCCATATGGTTGCCTCAACGGCAATAAAAGAGAAAATGGATTTGCTATTTCTTAGGTGCCTAATTTTCTTTTTCACGTAGTCGCTTTTCTCCTTCTCCCTTCCTTCTCCTTCTTTCTTCCCTGTTGGCCAGACCTCGTTGGAGAAGAAACAAGCTCGCCCGAGAAGAGCCAGCCCCACCATCTATCTTAGGGTGAAGTAATGCCCCATTATCTATCTTAGGGATGGGGGTGCAAGGGATCGCCGGAGTTCTCCATTCGTGTGGCGGGGCTTAAAGAGATGACCAGGGCGACGGCTAGCAACAAAGGTGGGTGGAGGTCGAGGGGAGGGCAGCGCGACGCACCGTAACACCCGCAGGCGGGGGTGCTAGAGGCCGGCGGATGCGGCGGGGTAGGCCGGGGATCAAGAGGAGGAAGAAGGAAGGGAGGTTGAAGATGAACAATACTAGATTTGTTTTGGGCGGTTGAATAAAGATCAGACGGTTCATATAAGAAGTGATTGATGACTTGTTTTTCCAGTTACCTATGAATAGAGCTTCCCAAAAGAAAAGAGTACTCCCTCCGTCTCAAAATATAAGAACGTTGTTTACACTAGTACAGTGTAAAAAACGTTCTTATATTTCGGGACGGAGGGAGTAGTAAATAATGCTTGTGCATCACAAATCCTACTAGTAGGCCGTGAACCAAAATCGACCGAACAAATCCTAAGAGATCATCTCCCATCAGTTGCACAAAGAACAGCCCCCCATCCTGTTTGCAAAGTAACGACCAAGTATGAATCCAGCTGATGGTTTTGAAGATAACTTACAAAACATAGAATTTTCGTCAGGTTTGACTTTTCCAAACGACGCGAAGTAAAGTGTAAATTTCCACCCGAATCTGATTAACTAGATTTCTGTTGTGTCAATTGTCGTCGGAGGATGACATGTACGTGCAGGAGAGTAGGACTTTGCACCAACCGGCCATGAGTTCGCCAGTTCATGCCAGGTCTGATAGACGACAAAGAAGCACTTTCCAGGCTAGTGAACGGAATCTCCATTTTCCTACCCTTCTTCTGGATGCTCGTGCCTGGCTGCCGGTCGGGGCACACCCAGCGGATTTTGTATACACACGCTAGCTGACGCGCACATCACCCACCACATCCACATGGGGACGGCTGGTCTACCTCTATAAGTTACACCACCGATCGATCTCCTTCTCCCCACATGTGCAAGTGCACGAGAGGAGACGCGAGTGGAGCCAAGTAGGCTTGGGGTTGAGTTGAGGAGGCGATCGAGGATGCGGCGGTGGTGCGCGAACGCGAGGGAGGTGGTCGTCGCCGGCGGCGAGGGGGGCACGGTGGTGCTGGCGCACGGCTACGGCATGGACCAGGCGTCCTGGGACAAGATCCTGCCCTCCATCACCAAAGCGAACAAGGTACGTTCGCACACAGGGCATGCGCATGTGGTGCCTACGTCGGTGATTAAACCGGTAGCTGACCGGCCGGCTTCTGGACACAGGTGCTCCTCTTCGACTGGGACTTCACCGCCGGCGCCGACGAGGACGGCGACGAGGCGAGGTACACGTTCGGCCGGTTCGCGGACGACCTGATCGCGCTGATGGACGAGAGGGAGGTCCGCGGCGCGGTGCTGGTGGGGCACTCCATGTCCGCCATGGTCGGCTGCATCGCCGCCGCCCGGCGACCCGACCTCTTCGCCCACCTCCTCCTCCTCTGCGCCTCCCCAAGGTAAGCACCTACGTGGATCTCTGCGTCATCCATGCATGCATACGTACGGCACATCACACATCGACCGCGCGCGCCGGAGGTCCATCTATCGACGCATGTCGCCGGCGGCGGCGTCTGTCTGCGCGCGCCGGCCACCGTGCACGCACGGCAACTTGTGATCTATCTAGCCTTTTCGGATTTATTGCCATGTCCACGTCGGCGAGCCTACATGCACAAGTCACGGTCGCCGTAGCCAAGGGGAAATCTATTCTGTCCACTCATCTCCTTCCTCATGGCGCCAAATTGTGTGCATCACCGCCGGGTGCCGGCCGCCTAATAACTACGGTCGATTGAGACGTGGCATGGCAACACATGTCGCTCAAAAATATCTAGTAGTACCACGGGAAATACACTTTGGAACCTGCATGTATATACACCCTATATGGGATTTTTTTTTTTAATAAAAAGTCAAAATAGGTAAGAACTATTTTGACAAAACACTTGACTTACTTTTGCACTAGTAAAAAAGTGATGAAAAAAAAAGTTGACTTCACAGCAAAAAAGACAAAATTTATTTGCTATTATAGGTCACTATTCACACTATTTTAGCCAAAAATTTGTCTTTTTTGAAAAGAAGTCAAGGGGATATTTTTTTTGTGGATTTATTTTCTCACGAGTACAATAGAAGGTCAAGTTTATTTCAAAAATATTTTCAGGAATTTTCGACTTTTGGTTGAATTACTAATTTTTTTTTGCATATAGGGTGTATATACACCCATAGACCAAAAGTTCCCTCCCGTAGTACCACCTACTAGCTAGTAGTATATCCATTTGAGTCCACTGAGTTTTTTCTATGTCTAAATCGATTCTAAAAGGTGCCGTGAGTTGTATTTTTCATTAAACTCAGAATGTGTTTATCTTTTAAGAAATCTATATGGAGTTAAATCGTTTCAAAAATTATATGGAGTTAAAAATTCCTATGGCGATTTAGAATTAGCAACACCAGATCGATTTACCCTGGGAAAACTGTGACTACCCGTGGTGCATGCATGGTTTGACTTTCAACTGCTGTGGAAGCTGGTTTCGTGACAAAGTCCATTTGAATGAACTCTCGGTGTATTTAAGTGACAAAATGAGAAATTATTTTTCAATGCCTTTCAGGTACATCAACTCGGAGGAGGAAGGGTACGTGGGCGGCTTCGAGGAGGCGGCCATCCACGGTATGTTGGGGGCCATGGAGTCCGACTTCCAAGCCTGGGTCAAGGGCTTCGTCCCCAACGCCGCCGGGGGCGCTGCCGACGACATGGCGGCCGCAACCGTGGAGCCCCTGGAGCGGAGCTTCCTGGCCATGGACCCGGCCGTGGCTCTCGGGGTGGCCAGGATGATCTTCCTCGGCGACCAGCGCCCGGCCCTCGACGCCGTGCCAGCACAGTGCACCATCGTCGGGGTGCGTCATGACTTCGCCGCACCCCCGGTCGTGGCAGAGTACATGGAACGGAGGATGACGAAGGCAGGCACAGACGTGGCCGTGGTGATTGTCGAGTCCGTTGGGCACTTTCCCCAGCTCGTCGCGGCGACGCGGGTGGCAGGCATACTCGACGGCATGCTGCTGCGGCTGCGCCACCAGGGGCTCTCGATCGGGCACGATGGCACGGAGGAGGGAGAAACGACGGTGCCTGTCGCTACTGAGGTCCAGATTGATGGTGGCATCGACGTCACGACGTAGGTAGGGTCTAAAGAAGATGTGTATGGAGTGAGATTGATGTTGGCCACCATGCGTCCATGCCCAAGATATGTAGTAGTCGTAGGTTGTACATCTACAAGTTGTGGTATGCTTTCTAAAATTTAATTAGCACGTGAATAAACATATCTGTTGTGTATATCTCTAGTTGGATTAACATTTTAGGCATGATAGAATCCTATTTTAGAAAGAGTCAATATCAAGTTATAGGGGCTTCAATGCAGATCCAGGCCACAATGCTTTCTTAAGCCGCTTCAGAGGGCGCTGCATCAGATGCCTCAGCAAGCACCTCCACCGGAAGGATTGCCGCGACCCCATCCACTGCATCATCTGCGAGCTACCGGGCCATTTCGGCAAGGAGTAGCCCCAAAACCACAGAAATTAGTGCCGGGTTGAATTATCGATGTAGATGCTACATAGTGCGTTCTCATCCTTCAGAGACTACGAGTGTAATAGGAGCATCCGTTGACAAAAGGATCACCCTAAGATGATCATCTCATGGCTATTGGGAACGAATCAAATCATATGGTTCTATTTCTCAACCTTACTGACTTGCTCCTACGGAACCAAGGTCGAAAGGATTGAAAAAGTCAGTCATTCACAACCGTGGTATTGCTAAGAATAGGCTCGGCCCGATGCCTCCCTTGGCTCCTCCCGTGTGTGACCGTCTTCGCTTCCCTGCGCCTCATGCCGTTTCGACCGTGCCTGCTGCATCCTCGGCCATGCTCAACCAAGTTGGCCCTGCTTGCCGTTCGCGCTCTAGCCACAAGGTGGCCATTGCTGAAATATGGGGTGGGCTTTAGGCCCATCTAGCAATTTCTGAAAATCTCTAAGGGCCCATGTGGGTTTAATTGGCACTAGGTGTTAGTCCAACCCCGGAAGTTCAAGAGGAGTTGGATCTCCTTGTTGGAGAGGAGTTGGCACACCGCTTCAATGGTGGAGGCAGTGAGAGGTCGCGTCCGCCCTGAGCCGTGTTCAATGCGGAGCGATGCGCTCTACAACGGCATGAAGGCGGGCAGTTGGTGCCGGCAGGGAACGTGCGTAGGAGAGTGGAGGTTTTAGTTGGTGGGCCAGGGCGGTCTGAAACCGGCCTGGGATCGGTCCGGACTCCCGCAAACCTCCCCTACTTTTGTCTCCGGTATAGGAAGAAGTCGCCTTCGGACCGCCCCGCAGACTGATACAGGTCGGTATTGAATGGCTTCCGCGGTCCGGACAACGTAGTCCGGACGATGGACTATTGCGTGAGGTTTACGGGTCCTCTTTGGAAATGCCCGAATCCACTAACACCAGCCCATAATCCGAGAACCAGGAGAAAAACAACCCGTATGAATCAGGGTGAATGAGAAAACTTGGCAGCTCTGAGTTTTAGCAACCGTATTAAGTATGAACACCGTTTTCTGCATTGTTATGCTGCAGAGGCCGGGGGACTGAATCTCCTTGTAAAAAAGAAAATATTGTACCCATTGCGCTTACCTTTCTAGAAAGCCTATATCACATCCATCTTAAAGTTCGTCTTGCCCGCGTCTATGATGAGAGAAGACAGGGACAAAACAGGAACAAAATGAAAAAGACGATAGCTAGCCGTGCGACCGATTGAGAGTAAACTAATTAGGCTTTTTACCCCGCAAAAGAAACTAATTAAGTTTTTGGGTTCCACCCACCTTGGACAGTGTTCCTGAAGTTAGAAAGCATCACTACTCCCACTATCCTCAAATAGTGGCGTACAAATTCAGTTAGAAAGTCAAATATTTTTAAGTTAGACAAGATTCATAGTAGAAACTATCTACAACTACAGTGTTGAACAAATACAATTTGAAAATATATCTAAGGACGCGACTAATTTCCAGACGTACTGATTTTAAGAACAGATACGGACGACCCGTACTAGCTTTGATCTGGTGCATGCATGCGACCCAGCATGAGGCACGGGTGAGCACCTCAATTTTGAACATGCATGCATATACCAACAAATTTGATGATGTCAGCAAATATTCCTTCAAAAAACAAACTTCAAAATGATTTGTAGGTCAAACCGTTGGGCGGATTGGAAAACCGTTTTTACACAAAGAAATCGTTGCGACGAGCGCTTCAAAACTAGATCCCATGTTGGTATGTTTCGACGACTTTTTTTTAGGTCAAAAGTTACCATGCTGGACTACGTAAGTTATCACGCATGCAGTACGTAACTTATCAACCGTACAGCAGGATTTTAGCGACAGATCCGCATGATCCCCTTCGATGGCTCCCGCTTCCCCCGTTCTTCCCCGATCGATTAGTTTGACAATAATAAAAAACACAAATTGAGAAAAAAAGTGTCCTACATGGGATTCAAACCTACGTCAGGTAGCAAGGACACGGCAAATGTCAATACCAACAACCATTACACCAACCTACCCCCCTCCCACCACCACCCCCATCGCCAAAGTTACCGAGGGGGTGTTTTATCAACCCCCGCTTCCCACCACCACCACCATCGTCAAAGTTATCAGGACCGGGGTACATAAGCTATCAGGTTTTCGATGTGTGAGTTACCATGCTATTGACACAAAAGC